AAATAGACGACCTCGCGAGCACCAACCATTGCTGCTCGCGCTGGACTACACGCTTGAGACGCAGGGCGGCAAACACAAGAAGGACAACCGCATTTCTTGGGACCTGCAGCGCTTGTCCGAGGCGCTACAGACTGGGGTTGGCAGGGGTCGATTTTCACCACGTCTGGAGGAGGAGTTCGCTGCGCATGCTGAGGGGTTTGCCAAACTACAAGAAGAGCCGACTGTGGATGGACACTGGCGCCCGACGTGGAAGTCGACGCAGAAAGTTCGTCGCGAGTTTTTCAAGCGGCATCCGCCTGGTAGACGCAGCGCCGCCGAGTCTAGATTGTAGGTCGAGAGGCGCCGCATGGTCGCGTCGCGCGCAAAGAGAGGGGAGAGAGAGAGAGAGAGAGAGAGAGAGAGAGAGAGAGAGAGAGAGAGAGAGAAAAAAAAAAAGAAAGAGAAAGAGAGAGAGAGAGAGAGACAGAGAGAGGTCGGCTGAGCTGGGCCCGCGGGATTCGGAGTTCGAGATCGAGGATGGGCAGCATCATGATTTCAGGGAGCTCTCGAAGCGGCTGAGGGGCAGGGCCAGACGTCGTCGGGAAGATCGTCGCATATCGAGGCGGACTCGGAGGAGGCTGCGAGGAAGGGACATATATGTAAACCGCATCGGATTGCTCATCCATGTGCTAGAATTGCCCAGGGCGCGCGTCGCTGTCGGTCTTGCGCGACCCCCGGATCACGGCCGCCGCCGCGCATTATGACAGGGCACATGGCGAAGGCGAGCCCGGGCGGAGACTTGCCGGCAAAACGAGCTGATAAAGGCGGGAATCCGCAGGTCGGCGAAGCGAGCTGGCCACGCCCCCGCCAGAAAGAGGCGACGATTTCACAGGGCCTGTCGAACGCGATCTTCGACAAAAGGCAGGGCCCATGCGAAGGAGCGGCATGCGTCGCGGCTTCGTTCAGCGGGGCGCATTCACGGAGTTGTTGCCACGCAGAGTTGAACCAGCGCAGCGCTCGACGCTGCGGCGCCCACTACGATCGACCACGCGAGAGAGTGTCCCTTCGCCGGGGTGGCCCTTGGTGACCCTTCGCCGGAGTGACCTTTGACGCTGACCCAAAGGGGGTCGGGTGATTTTTCACGTGGAATGAGCTTGACTTCGCGTCGGCGCCCGCATCGCGCGATTACGCTCGCCTCTGAGCGCGGCAGGTTCGGGCCCTCCCCTTGCAATCGACAGCAGCGCATACGCGTCGCACCCTACAGCTTGCAATAGTTACCCGAGGGGGAGCCGGTCAACCAGACGGAGCGTTTTCTGGCCCAGGACCAGTCCCGAATCCCAGCCGAAATCCCAAAACGTCTGCTTCGAATATCTTTGGATAGTTTCTGATATCTTTGGGTGCCTACGAATGTGTGTGAAAATATTTGAATGTGTTTGTCGAACCAATGGAAGAACTTTACTATTATGAGTTACCTAAAGAATTTCAGATTCGTACCAGACTCTCGGCCGGGGCCGGCTCTGGCCATGGCGCCGGTCCTGGCCAGGCGCCATCGCGACGCAGCCCGGCAGTGCTGGACCTCGTCGCGGCTGCCCCCGGCAGCGTCTGCTTTCGCGGCGCCTTCGAAGTGCCATTCGGGCCGCTCGAATTCAATCGGCGGAATTCCGCGGCTGCCCGCTGGCCCAAAAACAAACATTCGAGCGGCGCCCCGCCGATCGCTGATGCGGCGCGGCAACGCCGGCTTGCGCGATTGCGTTGGGCCCCCACGGGCGCCCCTGAAGCCGCGCGCCAAATGTCGCTCTAGCTTAGGGCCACTCCCACGCGCAGTCGATACGAGGATTCGGATACGCGGGCAGCGGGTAGACGCCAAAGCCGCCGCGAGTCGCGACGAGGCACTGGGAGCATAGACGCATGCGAGGAGGGCGGGGGGGGCGCCAGCAGCGGCGCGCCGGCCCCGCGGCCCCCTGTGGACAAGCGCGACGGCAAGAAGAGCATCGACGTCAAGCGCATCATTAATTTGCTCGCGCGCTCTGGACATGCTACTGATGGGGGGCTCCTGAGGAAGCCCCACTGCCATGAGTTCGAGATGGAGTCCGATCCCGCCTGGCGCGGCGACTTTTCACGGGGGGGGGGGGGGGGGCGGAACGCCTGCGACGCGATGCGCGAGCCGTGCGCTACGCCGGCAGGGTCAGCGCAGCGCGCGCGATCTGTTGGACAAGTCAGACGCGCTCGCTTGCACGCCACTCGAGTGGCCAGGAAAGGCGGATGGCGGCGCCGAGCCAGTTGATTGAGACCTCGCCCAGCGTGGAGTGCACTATCGCGGAGATGATGGCGCGCGGCGAGGTCTTGCACTTCGCCATGAGCCGCTGGGGCATCGCGGGCACGCGCGAGGCGCCGAAGGAGTTCGCGGCGGCGCCCACGGGGCCGCGCGCCGGCGGCGCGACGGGCGCGCGGAGCAGGACGAGATGCTGAAGTCCAAGACGCCGGTTTGAGTTATTCGTGGGTTGCGCTAGTGCTCAATTCGCCGATGGTCTGCACAAGCGGCACGTCGCGCTGCCAGGCGCCGCGGAGGGGGCGCGCGAGATCACCCATTGGGCCAGGTCGCCCTCGAGCACGAGCGGCCCGCTGGCAGGTCAAGGCAGACCGCGGGCAAGCGCGAGTCCGTCTCAGCCGGGGCCCCACGGAGAACCGCGCGCCCAAGAAGTTGGCGCCTGCTGGCGGAGGCGGGGCGCCACCGCGCGCTGGGCATCTCGCAAGGCTACTCGTCTGGACGACAACGTCGGCAATCCGATCGAGCACCTCGTCGACGCGCCGAACAAGGGCTGGCTGGACATGGGGAGGTTCTGGTTCACCAAAACGCAGAGGAAGCTTCGCAAGCAGCTTTCTTGAGCAAGGTCGCAGGAGGGCTCCGCCCTGCGCGCGTAGCTACTTATTCGCGGCGGCGGAGTTTCATCATCTGCATGCCCCGACCCGCAAGAAGCTCCGCAACCTCGAGAGAAGGGCGCAGGCGGAGAACGAGGAGCACGTGCAGTTGCTCACAAACAGGGAGCACATGTACCGCTGGGGCGCGGTGCCTGTTCGCGCGGCTCTCGCGATGCAGCAAGTCCGCTGGCTGCAGGAAATGGCGAAACGATCCCTCTCTCATCGGCAGGCGGTCGCTGCGCTGCGGGGGTCGATTGAATGCGCGCCGGCACCTGTCGTCGAGGACGGGCCGCTCGCGGCGGCGGCGAGCCCCTTCGCGACGCAGTTCACGAGGGACCTCGGGCTGCTCGAGGGCATCAGCGGCCCCGCGGAGTTCTTTGAAGAGCGGGCCCTGGTGGGGCGCGCGTGGCAGGCGCTCTGGTCGCATGATGCAGCGTCTGAGGCATGTCTTCAAGAAGTGATCGCGGAGCTCATCGGGTTGCCACCAAGGGGGGAGGAGACTCTCCGGGCCACGATAGAGACGAAGCCGGCGGGCATGGAGGAGCGGCAGGGCGACTTCGAATGCGAGCTGATGGGGACCACGGGCATGGGGCGCGGCCCATGCTTCGACGCGTCCCAGAAGCTCGTGGCGCACACGACGGATGCCCGCGGCGAGTCTCACGGCGCCTTGCGTCTGGTTCGTTGCTTGCGCGATCGCGAACCAGTGCGCGAATCGGCACAGTCGTTCTGCTTCGCGCGATGGCGCGCGGCAGCATGCGCGGGCATCGCTGGCGCTTAGACGCAGCAGACCAGTCGGGGGGAGGCTGGCGCGGGGCTTGCAGGAGCCATCGTCACCTGTCTGCACGGCGCGCGGTCTCGAGTTGGAATCATTCACGCTTTTTCGTCAGCGCGCCCTACGCGCGCACCCCGCTCAGCCAGCCCCGCGCTTCCTGGAAGCTCGCCGCCGCCATGTCCGCCGCGCCACCGCCGGCTGGAGCGCGAGGAGGCAGACGGGACGGCGGAGGACGACAACCAAGGCAAGCCAAAACAGAAAGAGTCGCCCCCAAAAACAGGAAGGAGCTCAAGGGCGCCACCGACGAGAGCTTCAGGCGGTTCCTCGCGCCCATGACGAAGCAGCTCCTGAGGCGCGCCCAGCAGGCTGGAGGACTAGGGGGTCGCGTCTTCGACGCTTTTCCATCGAAGCCGTCGCCGCCAGCGATCACGAAGATGCCGGAGCAAACCCGCAACTACTCGGAGGCGGCGGAGGCGGACGAGAAAGGCCACGCACGCGGCGCCCCGCACATCTGGGCGCTCGCGGGTTTTATCGGTGCGCCGAAGGAGCGGGGGGGGGGGGGGCAGCGGGCACCCAAGGCGCGAGGGGCACCCAGCTGATCTACCAGTGGATGGAGGAGCAGATCGCGGAGTACAAGGTGGAAGTCAAGCGGATGTGCCGTGTGGACAAGACGTGCGGCAAAGACCAGAAGAGAACCAGTGTCGTGTTCCGCAACGACGTAGTGAGCAAATCGTCTTGGCTGCCTCGTCCGCTGTCAGTATCCTTACTCCTTCATCTCGTCCTCCGTGTCCTCCTTCCGATGTACCTCGCGTGCCTAGCAATACTCAGGGAGACAGAGGCCGTTCCTCTTTCTATAGCGGGGCAGCGCCCGCTGGAACATGCTCTTGAGTGAGAGGTTGCGCGGTCGATAGCGTGCGCTGTGAGACTCGCAGAGTCTCCAGCTGGCCGTAACTCGCGAGCCGGTCGGCGTGGCCAGCCGTAGGGTTGACAGGCTCCGAGATGCAGCTCTTGCGCCCTGCTATTGTTGCTGGACGCCTCGGTTGTGGATGACCGCACGCCGCCTCTCACATCTAGGTTCGTCAGGAGTCGCTGACTGGGCTCAAGGAGCCCGCTCTCTTTTGTTCCCGAGAGGCTGATGGAGTGTAGCTGGAGCAATGCACGGAAAGGAACTCCGTCGGCCACAGCAGCAGATAAGACAACATGTAGGGGTTGATGGCGCAGCACGCACGTCATCATGCTCATCCTCTCCTTCTCCTTCCTTTTCCTTCTCCTCCTCCCCCTCCTCTTCCTCCTCCTTTTCCTCCTCCTCCTCCTCCTCATCCTCCTCGTCCTCCTCCTCCTCCTTCTCCCCCTGGGGTTTGGGCCACCCCGCCCGAGCTCGGGTTCAGGATCGGCCGCGGCGGCTCGGCACAGGCTGGGGCCCCCGCGCTGTCCCAGCATGGGGCCCATCTCTGGCAGGCCCCCGCAGCGAGCTGACAGGGCATCCCAGAGATGGCGACGTGGAACCCTGATCTCCCGACGATTCGAGTTTGTCCAACCGGCGGTGGTTCCTTGCTTTTCTTCCTTCGGGGGCCGTTGGGCACCGGGGCCATCGAACATGGACCCGGACGAAAGTTCACCCCTGGGGAAGTGGTCGGGGAACTGGGCAGCGGATCAAACAGAAAAAAAAAAAAAAATGATTTTTTCGGGAGGGGAAGACGGGAAAGGCAGTGGGAAAACCAGGAATGGTAAGATTTCGGACTGCGCACAGAGATCCCCCGAGTAGCCTGAGGTGGCGTCAACGCCCTGGCGCCGTCTCCGGCGTTGCCCTTGAGGCGTCCCGCGCCTCATGGTGAGGGTGTTCAGACCGCCCCAGGCTACTCGGGGAGCTTGTCTGTGCGCAACCCGGCGTCTCACCAGGCAGGAATTGTACCCAGAGATCCAATGCGCGGTCTCCGGAAGTCTCGACCCATTCCCCATACCCGCTTTTCATCCCGAGCCGTTTTTGACGGTCCCGGGGCCTAGCGAGGGCCCGTAGAGTCGGGGAAACGTAAGACTCGAGTAAGCCAGAATTCGGGTTTGCCGAAGTTTTTTGACGAGCGCGTCCTGGGTTTTGACGGTTCAGTTGTCGTGGGATGTTTGCAGCGGGAGCTCGCGTCAAGTTTCAGATTGGGTCTCGTCATTGTCATGATGGCCCCATCAGGCCAACCCGAGTCCCCCGTACCCGAGTCTTACGCCTCCCCGATAGAGGCCGAAAATTTCGAGAAACCTCGGTCTTGATTGTTCAGCACGTTGTACCTCTGAGTACGACTGGGCCACGTGGCCCAGCGCAGGCACTCCTTGCCGAGCCCGTGCCGAGAGCAGGCTCGCCCCCTCCGGGTCCCCGGCCGCAGAAGCCGCCCCGCCCGGCCAGGGCCTTCCCAGATTCGCCCGGCGTCGCGAGGTCTTGGCGCCGCGCGGCTCCCCTGAGGGAGTGGTTGTTGGAACTCCAGAAACCCAGAGGAATGGTTCCTGAATTCAACCAAACAGTTCTGTTGAATCCAAATTCCCCGGGAATGGTTTCTTCTCCTGCTGAGCTTCTAGACCTCATAGATGGGGCAGGCCATGGCCTTCCCAGATGCTCGACGTCGCGAGATCTTTGTGCAGCGCGGCTCCCCAGAGGGACCCTTCCCCGGGAATGGTGGCTTCTTCCAAGACCCCTTCGCGTCCTGAAACAATCACGACGAGAGGTTTGTCGCCATTCTCGGCCCCTGGAGGCCCTCGCCGGGCCTCGGGACCGTCAGAAGACGACTCAGGACGTAAAAGTGGTCCTGGGGAATGGGTCGAGACCTCTGGGGGGCGACGTTATGAACAAAAAAACTGTGCGCAGCGCGGTTCCCCAGAGGGACCCTTCCCCAGGAAATAGGATGTTCCGACTTACTTTAGCCTTGATCGCCAGAAAGAATTTCGAGCACCAAGAAAGCATCGAAATTTGATGGTTTTCACGTGTCGGGCCCTGGGAGGCGATATTCGTTCGACACTGATCCGATACTTTATCGGGTGCTCGAAATTATTTCTGGGATGTGGTCCTTAAGCATGATGGGTGCAACATAACCCGGGAATGGCTTCTTCTTGTCCAGAGTTTCTAGGCCTCCCAGGTGGGGTCGGAGCAGATGGGGTCCGAAGATCGCTCCGCATCGCCAATGCATCGCCGCTGCGGCTCGATGCGGAGCACGATTTGCTTCACGTCGATGTCGCCGATGCATTGCCCACGTCGACGATGCATCGCTGGTGCATAACCGATGCATCGCCGATGTATCGGCGATGCGGCACGATTCTCTGACCCCATCTACTCCGACCTCATCCAGGAGGCCTCTAGAGTTAGTCTTAAAGCGGAGGAAAAGATCAAAGCACCTCCGTCGTGATCCCTTCATGGCCCGAGGGGGTTTGGGTCTGCAATGCGCCCTCGCCTGGGACGTCGCTGCCCGGCGTGCGCAGTGAGGGCACCACCATGCTCGGGCCACGCGCAGGGAGAGCACCTTCGGGCCTGGCCGCGCGCGAGCCCTGGCCGCGCGCGGCCGAGCTCTCGCTCTCGCTCTCTCTCTCTCTCTCTCTCTCTCTCTCTCTCGATGTTTTATGCATCCGAGGCAGCGCGCAGTTTTTCCGAGGCAGCGGCCCCTTCCGAAGGCGGCCCCTCCCTGCATGCGCCGCTCGTCACGAGCGCTGAGCGTACCCGTATCCACGCCCTCGCGGTCTGGATTCTGGGGCGCGATCCCGTGGATACGCGGTCGCATGGACACGTTCCGCGCGGGTCAGCCACGCAAAAACACTCCGCATCCATGGGGTCGCGACCCGGGGTCCAGGCCCGCCGTGGATACGGATAGGTGTCCCGCCCGCGAACTCAGCTTCCGACCTGACCAACCGGGCTCTCCTGGCCTACGGCTTCATTCATTCGTCGCGCTTCCCGCTGGTGTCCGTCCGGCAGGGCTCTCGTTCTCGACTTTCGGAACCGGTGCACGCTATTGAGAGCTTCCCTGTACGCTTGGCAGCGTTTGTCTGGAAGCCTTACGACCTCGCTCTCCATGATGCTCGGCCGAAGAGGCACCTTCGAGCACGCATCGTTAAGATTGTGAATTCGGCGTGGTGGAGCTACGCATGCCTGCGATGGCGTTCTTCATCTCGATTGGATTCTTCGGAACGGAGGCGTCCTTTGACCATCCAGGGGATGGCGCTGGAACCCCGGCGCCTTGAAGCGATACCTCCTGAATATTATACACAGCGTTCCGCGACCAGTTTTGGTTCAGATGGTTCCCACATGAGGAAGCGCGCGATTACGCGTTGGAGCCTTGCTCCCGCGCTCATGCGTAGCACGCAGAGCGCTGGTACCTCGAGTAGAGATTAGGCCGCACGTGGGGGGGGGCGCAGCCAACAGGCGAATGGGAGGGCTAGGGTCATGATCGGCTTGCGCCGTTGCTGCCATGCAACGTGAAGCTTGAATATGGTGCGTCGCATGCTGCCCCATGGGATCGCGGCGGTGTTCCTCGTGCGCCGTCTTGCCCTACATAAAAGTATTTCACCACATCTACATTGTGTGTTCACACAAGCACGCCATGAGCAAAGCTCAAAACCTGCAACAACAGCAGCAACAACAACAACCATAACAGTACCAACGACAACACCAACGGCACCAACACCAGCCACAACAACAGCAGCAGCACCAACAGCAACAACAACAAACGTTTTGTGACTGATCGCCCTTATCTGCTCGCGTGCCATTTCAACATATATATATATACCCCAAGCCTTCGATACCCACCCTCTTTGTCTTCGATCGTACCCCCATTGGGGATATATCTGCCTTACCTCACGCGCATTTGGTACAGCCCCCAAAACAGGGGAAGAGATGGAGGATGGAAGGAAAGGACAAGGGGAAGGGAGAAGGATGCAGCACGAGAGCAATTAGCAGGACGGGGGGCTTGGAGCAGAAAACACGTGGTAGAACCCGACGGGCGGATCGGGCGGGCAGGCCCAAACTGGCGGCTCGTGAAAGCGGGCCCAGGCAGCTGGGCAGGCGGGTCGCTGAAGCGTGAGTCCAGCTTGAATCGCGAGGAAGTCTCGAGCAATAGCGCGATTCCCAAGCAAATCGTGAGAAAAGCCAATGCGAGAGCGTGATTCTTGAGTGTCGAAGGCGCGGCGTCTGAATAGACTGCGACAGACCACGCGAGAGCGCGATTCCTGGATAATGTATGAGGATGTCCCGCGCGAGAGCGCGATTTTCGAATGCTCTGTGAGGAAGTATCAGGCGGAAGCCGTTGTTGAATTTTACTTTGAAGAATGATGTAGCCACCCGCACTTGCGGATATGAGTGAGGGGACGGCAGTGTCGTCGGCAATGTGCGAGGGTCCGAAGAAGACCGCCGTAGGCCCTGATTTTAAAACACATTCTACAACGAGCCCGCCGCAGGCGCCGAATTGCTTGTCAATTCTCCGCTGGTCGCGGGTGGTTCGCGTGTGGATGGTGAGTGGGTCGCGGGTGGGTCGCGGGTGGGTCGCGGGTCGGTCGCGGGTGGGTCGCAGGGTGGGTCGTGCGTGGGTCTCGGTTTGGTCGCGGGTGGGTCGCGGGCAGGTCGCGGGCCGGTCGCGGGCCAGTCGCGGGCCGGGTCGCGGGTGGGACGACGACACCAAACAACAAACAACAACCAACGCAACAACAAACAACAAGAATAACAACAACAATCATTTTAAGATTGTTCGCTCTTATTGGCACGCGTGTCTTGCATTCCGTATACCCCAACCCCCGAGACCCGCCCACTTCGTCTTCGATTGCACCCCCTTTCGGGGGGAATCTCGTCCTTGTCGGCCACTGATTGAAGTGCGACGAAGTCTCGAGCGAGGGCGCCGTTCTTGAGTTCGGGGGCCTCTCTGGCCAGGGGCTCTAGGAATACCTACGGAGAAATATCGAACGGGAGCCCTTGTCGCCGTGTCTAGGCGTCCATCATCTTGCCAGAATTACGGGAAAGTCTCGAACGATAGCGCCGTTCCTGAGTTCGGGGGCTTTCTTGGCCAGGGGCTCCCGGAGTAAATCGTGAAGAAGTATAAAACAGGAGCCTTTGTCGTCGTGGCTGGGCCTCCGCCAACTCAGTTGAATTGCGAGGAAGTCTCGAGCGAGAGCGCCGTTCCTGCGTTCGGGGGCCTCTCTGGCCAGGGTGTCTCGGGGTAAACTGTGAGGAAGTATCGAGCGGGAGCCGTTGTTGTCATAGCTGGGCCTCCAAGGGCCCACATTTAGGGTCAAGCCAACGCTCGAGCGGAAGCTTCGTTTTCAGAGAAAATGTAGTCGGCGTTGAGGCGAAAGCGCGCGGAACCGTTTTCGGAG